AACTGAAGAAAAAATTCAAGCCTCTAGTTGCAATCGTGAAGGATTCTACGGGGAAAACATTATATGGCACGGGAAGCATCAAAAGAAGATGAAAGGAATACACAGTCACCATACCAGAAAGAACTGGTCAATGTTCAACCATTTCAAGAGGTCGCGTATAGTCAAGAATCGATGGTACTGAAGGAGGAAGTCCAAGCTGCACTGAAGGCACTGGCAAAAAAACAAGATTCCAGGAATTGATGGAATATCAACTAAGATATTTCAGTAAACAGATGCAGTGCTGCAAGCGTTCACTCATCTATGCCAAGAAATTTGGAGACAGCTGCCTGGCCAAATGACTAGACGACATCCATATTTGTGCCTATTCAAAGAAAGGTGATCCAACAGAAAGTGGAAATTATAGAACAATATCATTAATATCACACATTTTGCTGAAAATCATTCAAAAGTGGTTGCAACAGTACATCGACAGAGAACTGCCAGAAATTCAAGCTGGATTCAGAAGAGGATGTGGAACAAGAGATATAACAGCTGATGTCAGATGGGTCTTGGCTGAAAGCAGAGAATACCAGAAAGTTGTTTACCTGTGTTTTGCTGACTATGTGAAGGAATTTGACTGTGTGGGCTGTAACAAATTATGGATAACATTTTGAAGAATGGGAAGTTCAGAACACTTAATTGTGTTCATGGAGAACTTGTATGTGGACCAAGAGGCAATCGTTCGAACAGAACAAGAGGATACTGCATGGTTTAAAGTCAGGAAAGATGTGTGTCAGGGTTGTATTCTTTCACTATACTTATTCAATCTGTATGCTGAGCAAATAATTTGAGAAGCTGGACTGTATGAAGGAGAATAAGACATAAGGATTGGAAAACTCATTAACAACCTGCGATATGCAGATGACAAAACCTTGCTTGCTGAAGGTAAAGAGGACTGGAAGTACTTACTGATAAAGATCAAAGACTATGGCCTTCAGTATGGATTGCACTTCAACATAAAGAAAACAAAAATCCTCACAACTCCATTAGTAAGCAATATTATGATAAACGGAGAAGAGACTGAAGTTGTCAAGGATTTCATTTTACTTGGATCCACAATCAACACCCATGGAAGCAGCAGTCAGGAAATCAAATGGCACCTTGTATTGGGCAAATCTGCTGCAAAAGATCTCTTTAAAGTGTTAAAAAGTAAAGATGTCACCTTAAAGACTAAGGTGCGCCTGACCCAAGCCATGGTGTTTTCAATCGACTCATACACATGTGAAAGCTGGACAATTAATAAGGAAGACTGAGGAAGAACTGATACCTTTGAATTATGGTGTTCACGAAGAATACTAAATATACCATAGACTGCCAGAAGAAAGAACAAGTCTGTCTTAGAAGAAATACAGTCAGAATGCTCCTTAGAAGCAGTCTCACGTACTTTGGACATGTTATTAGGAGGGATCAGACCCTGGGGAAGGACATCATGCTTGGTAAAGTAGAGGTTCAGCGAAAAAGAGGAAGACCCTCAACAAGATGGACTGACAAATTGGCTGCAACAATGGGCTCAAGCGTAACAGTGACTGTGAGGATGGCGCAGGACTGGGCAATATTTTGTTCTATTGTACACAGGGTTGCTATGAGTCGGAACTGACTGGATGGCACCTAACAATAACAACAACAACAACAAACTTTGTAACACTTGCCCGAACAGGGCAGAGGCCAGGCTGAGAAGAAACAGTTACTTTCAAGTCATTCCTGTTACTTCCAAGTTGATTCTGATCTTGAATTGTAACCTGTTACTTCCCTAATAAACTCCATAATCCTGAGTATGTTCTGTGAGTTCTGTGTGGCCACTGCAATGAATTATCGAACCCAGCAGAGAACGAGAGTGCCATGGGAGGGATATCTGGTGTCAGAATTGGTAAAAAGGCTGGACAGTGTGGGTATGTCTGACCTCTCCCTCCTAAGAATCAACTTTGTGCTGATGGTGATCTTGATTCTCCTTCCCCCTCATGAAGCTAGAGGACCTCTGGCGTCATTCCATTTTTACACTACTATTACTGAATGTTTTAATCAGGGACTCAATAGATGAATCCTGATCAAAAAGGCAGAAATATGGAATAGAATTTCAAATTCTTAGGGAATCCAGATTTACTGGACCTATTGAGACTGGAGGAATCCCTGAATCTACTGCCCTGTGAAAATCTTTAAACCTTGATCTGAAACTATTCCCTGAAGTCATCTTTACACTAAACAACAGTTTAGCTAAATTAATAAAGAATGTTCATCAGGAGCACTGTGCTCTTTTAAAGAATTGTCTATTTATCTGTATGAGATCAAACTGACAATAGTAACACTAAAGAACAGACGACAAGGTTGGGGGCAGGGAGTTTAAGTCAATAATGGTGAAACAATATGGGTAGACATAGTGAGAATGGTGACACAATGTGAAGAACGTAACCAATGTCATTGAACTGTACATGCAGAAATTGTTGAATGGGTGTATGTTCTACTGTGTATATTTTCACAAAAATAAAATATTAAAAAAATAACAGAAACATCATCAAAATAATCTGTAATTTTCAGCACTAGTTTTAAAATAATTATTAATTACATTCTAAGTATTACTTACAACATATGGATACTGTAAAAATAGAATGAATGGTTATCTACCAACACTCAGCTTCAGAAGGAGAACATTAGTATTACCTTTGAAGCCCCCTGTAAGCCCTGCCTCAAAACAACTCTCCTGAATTTGGTATTTCTCATTCCCTGGCTTTTCTCCAGCATTAGCTTCTCATTTAACTTACCTCACATATCTACTCACTAAGAGCAAGTATATGTGTCACATCTTTAAAAATAAGACATAAATTCTACAGCCTATGATTCATACCGTTAATGAATTAAGAATCTAGGTAGGGTAACAGGAATATAAACCCACCACTATCATAACCCATTCAAGGAATACAAAAGGTTAAGTGGGCACACCAAGGGAAGTTCCACTTCTGCTTCAGGTGGTCAAGAAAGACTTCAGAAAGGAAGCAAGGCTTGAAATGAGTTTTTAAAGAATAAGCAGCCATTTACTAGGGAAAAGCTGGTATGGGGTTCAGGAAAGGGGGTTGAGGGTGTTAATTCCAAACAGGGGAAACAACATTGCCAAAGCACAAAGGTAAGAGAGTTGAATAATTTCAGCAACTACAAGTATGGCTGGCACATAAAGTTAGGAGGTGAGCTGGAAAAGAGGTTGGGCACCAAATTATGAGAAGCTTGGAGTTTAAACTCAAGAAACTGAGGCAGATAAATTGCTCTATCATGTCGATGATGATGATTTTCACATCCCTGTATCCATGCCCTTTGATAGTGCCCGCCACCATACACTGACTCAGGTCAATGAAAAAATAACAAAGTTGTGGCTTGCTCATGTCTACTTTGTTGTCCTTGTATCCTGATTCTTCCATGAGAAGAAACCCTTGCTAGCCTAACTGAAGGTAAGCATCTACATATAACGGGTCAAGTAGTCTCAGCTGAAGCCATCCTAGACAGCCAGCTGACCCCAGACATGAGTGTCAAAACCAAAAGACCAACGAGTCCAACTTGTAGAACTGTGAGCATAATAAGTGCTTATTACTACATGGCACTAAGGTTTTGTGGGTATTTATAACGCAGCAACAGAACTGAAAATAGGGGCTGAAGCTAACAGTACTGTATTAAGCAGAAGTGTCACATGATTAGGTATTTTTTTTAAGGACTGTGCTGGTGAATGGAGAATAGATGAGAATTCACAATGGAAACAAAAAAGTTTAAGAAACCATGAAGCTGGAATTTCTGCCATGAGGAACAGGCAGGAAAGGACATCTGAAATGCAGTAGTGGGTGCTAGAGCTGTTAGAATGCGGGCACTAATTAGACACACTCAATGAAGGAGAGACAGAATTTGAGGATGAATCCTAGCTTATTGCAAGAATAATTATAGATGCAATCAACCTAGATTTAAAACACTTTAGGAGAATAAGTTAGGTATTTTTAAAAATCTGTTATTGTTTTTGTTAAGGGTGGAAATAATCACTTTAGAAAATGGTACTTCAACATTGGAAAGGAAAGGCCGTTTTTACATTCCTAGGGCAATAGACAGAAATCAGAATTTTAAGATATCTTTAAAAGGATAAAAATTACACAAATGATTAATCCCTGGAGCACACCCATTAAGCAAGAACCTAGTTTCCTAAGATTAAAGACACAGCACCAGATATTTCTGAAATGGCCTTCCTAGAGTAAAATCAGTGCGTTTTGAATTATGTCTCCTCCCCTCCCCCATTTGTTGCTGTTACTGTTTCAGTATAGTTTATTTTTCACCTTATGATCTGAAACAGCTTAGATGGAAGTTGCAATAAAAAAGCTTTATAAAGATTGAAAAAATATTAATTAATGTTAATTAATTAATATTCACTTTATTCCAGTCTATCATCATGCACTTATTTAATTCAAAGCCGCAAACCAAGCCATAGCTGTCTCTTGTTCACTATGGAAATGCATTACATATATATGTACAGAAAGATAAACATGCATACATAGATATAATTTTAATCAAAAATAAAATACAAATCTTTTATGAAAACTGATATATAGGGAGGTAGTGAGGGGTCAGAACATCAACAGCATTTTTTTTTAGAGGAAAACAAAATAAGATGAATGCTCAAAATAAGAGTAGAGGTGATAGGGACATGAGAAAGACATAGATGGTTACATAGTTACATTTCCATGATAAAGTAGTTAAAAAACAAAATATTATTAGAATGTCCATTTCTATTTATGTCTATAAAATAGATTTGTTAGTGAACCAGCAGTTGAAGAACCAGGTATAGAAGGTGGAATACAAGGGTACTTAAGGCAAACTTGTTCACCACAAATTCTGCTACCACTGCTGATAGACATTAAAAGAAGTATACAAATTACCCAGATAAAGAAGTAGACATCCTTCTTTCATAATACAACCGTATGAAAAGTCTGAGAACTTGCCTCTTTCTCAGTGTCTCTGGAGATACATGTCCACTGGTTCTCCTTCACACTGTACGCCCAGAAGTCAGCAAGATCTTGTGTTCCATCCCAGCCACCAAACAAATAAACGGTCTCTATGAAAATTAGAAAAATACGTGTAAAAAAATAAACTTAGGCACAAAAAAAGCACGGGCACCCAGACGTAGCCAGTGGTTCCTGAGATCTTTTAAAAGGATACATCTAAATAAACTTAAAAATTAGATTTTTAAACTGGTAATCTTCCAAAATATATACTAAAGTAGTACTTCCTAAACTTGAATACATGGGCAGATTGCTGCAGAACCACTATCCGCAGAGATTTGTAAAAATACAGATAACTAGGAGGCATTCCCCGAGATTCTGATTGCACAGGTCTCTGGTGGACAAGAAGAATCTGTATTTTTAAAAGTATCCTAGGTGAATCTGATGGGCCGCCAGTTTAGGTGTTTCTGTATTAGGCCATGAAATGCTGACATTATTACTACTTTCTTAATAACGCACCTTCACATTGCAGGAAATAGAAACAAACAAACAAAAAAAAAACTCAAACCCATGGCTGTTCAGTCAATTCTGACTCATCATGACCCCATTTGTTACAGAATAGAACTGCTCCATAGGGTTTTCTTGGCTGTAATCTTTATAGAAGCAGATTGATAGGCCTTTCTTCCGTGACGCTGCTGGGTGGGTTTGAACCACCAACCTTCAGGGTTGTAGCCTATTACAAACCACCTGCACCATCCAGGGACCTCTGAGCCCCAGAAAACAGTGTCAAAGTATAACATAGAGACATTTAGCTACTTCTGAAAAAACTTCACATGAAAACTGGTTTCTCACTTTTGCAATATCAAAAACAATGGTTAAAGCTAGCTGTAAGTTAAAGATAGATACGTATCTTAAGAATGAAGGATTGCACAGCCCTGGTGTTCCCATGGAAATTGAGGGAATTTTTTGCAAATATATTGTGGTGGCTTTAACTCCTCAGAAATCAATCTTTAAGTGATTCTAGGCATCTTCAGAATTTGGTCTCTGCTGACCCTGAAATATCTATTAAGTTCATAGGCTTTATCACAGTGACAAAACTGATTTATTACTCAGTGAATAAACCAAACCAAAACCAAACCCACTGCTGTTGAGCTGATTCTGACTCATAGCATCCTTACAGGACAGAGTAGAACTGTAGAACTACTCCATAGGGTTTCCAAGGAGCGTCTGGTAGATTCGAACTGTCAACCTTTTGGTTAGCAGCCAAACGCTTAACCACTGCGCCCCTAGGGCTGCACTCAGTGAATAGTGAGTGTTTAGATATAGCGATGTGCATCACCGATCCTTCTTTTTCATACAGTAATAGAAACTTTCCTTTCTTTAAATACTGTCTGACTTTGTACATTTCTTATGCCTACTGGCTACACAGGCCCACCAGTTTTTTTTTTTTTTAAATAAATAAGACACTTCAGGAAAACTATAAAGCCATCTACTCTCTAACTGGCATGACCTAGACATGTACATCTGGCAACTGTCATCTGAATTATATGTCACCATAAAGGGTTACAATTCAAAATACACTTGAAAATACTGTAATACACTTAAGAAATCTTTCACCACTCACAGAGTTGAGCTGTATTCTAACAGATTTTTGCCATATTTTCACATAAATTTCAAACTTAGTGAATTTTCTAAGTGAAACTTCTAGTCTGTTCCTCAAAAGTTTGAAGAAATCAAAACACTTCACTGTTCTTTGAATTAGGACAGACCACCGGGGCAGGACTAAGTCTAGTACTAACTGGGTGATCAAGCACAGGCCATTTAACCTCCCTGAGTCTTAGTCTTTTCATTTACAAAACGCTCACTGTTGTGCTAAAGTTCTTCAAAAATAAGTTATATGAAAATATCCTGGAAGCTGTCAAGTATGAACGGCATTTCTACCTTTAAAACACAAAATACAACAAATACTTTGTAGATACTAAGTACCACAAATGCAATAAATACAATATCATACCTGATACTATGTCTAACATACTACCTAGAACACTGTTGGTACTGTTTGTGAAATAATGGCAATTACTTTAAACTATTAAAAGCCTGTCATATCTCAGAATTATAAAATAATCCACTATTATTAGTTAAGTAACATTCTGTTTCCCGAATGGCACACAGAAATGCCCAGACCCTTATAATTCTACAGAAAAAAAAAGTAAAGACTTTTCATCTGGCTTGAAAATTACTTGCCAACGCCTCACCAGAAAGGCAATTAACCCTGTTAAATTCTGAACCCCTGTGAGGGAGGGGTATATAACTAAAATAGCAATAGCAATTGACCTTTTGTTTTGTACTGTTTCTGGGCACCCTCTGGATAAGGTTACTCTGGTTCATTAACTTTAATAACCCTTCTTCTTGGGCTCTGGGTTCTCAATGTTCTTTCTGAAAAGCAGGTCTCTTTGTGAGCATAAATTCTCACAGCAAAGAAAACCCCGCATTTCCACAACAGCCTCATTGATAGCTGAGCAAAATAAAATCTGGCACCGAGCAGGCTCCCAATGGAATTAAGCCAAGATGTCATTCCTGCTCAGGAAAGCTTTGTGGTCCCACTTGAAGTTTAATAGTAAAACTGAATGAACTGGATGGAAACAGGACATTCTGATGTACCTGAATGAAAATGCAGAATAAATTTTTAAAATGAAATCATCTAATCACTTAAGTTAAAACATTCAGGGTGAACTATTATCTAGAAACAAATACCAGCAAAAGTATTATTTAACTTATAAAGAATATTAAAGATCTTTAAAAATTATGGAAATAATTGAAGAAGAAAACTGCAGAGAGAAGGAAGGAAGAGGAAAAGAGAAAGGAGAAAGCATTAATGTTTCTAATAAGGCTGGCCTCCTGGCTGTCCAGTCTCATGCTTTCAGGTTGACAACAATCCGCGTACACACCTGGGGCAGTACAATCCTCCTCAAACAGCAGCCTTTTCTCTGAATTTTTTCTTAAAGGAGCACAGACTAACAGGGGCTGTGTATTTCTCCTAGCACTCAGAGGATTGTTTATTCAACATTTTTTGTGTACTTATCTGAGTTGGCAGGCCACTTTAGAGAATAAAAAGAAAGAAGACATGGTCCCTATCCTCAAGGAGCTTACAATCAAGAATATAAAACACGGACATAAATCACCATAATGCAAGGCAGACTAAGTGTCATAAAGAGGTAAAATGCAGAGACAGAAAGGGCCACATAAACCAGAGTCTTCATCAGCCTGAGACCAGAAGAACTAGATGGTGCCCAGCTACCACCAATGACCTCCCTAACAGGGAACACAACTGAGAGTACCAGATTGAGCAGGAGAAGGGTGGGGTGCAGCACTCGAATTCTAGTAAGAAGAGCAGACTTCATGGTCTGACTGAGACTGGAGGAACCCTGGAAAGCATGGCCCCTGGATTCTCTATCATCCCAGAACTAAAACAATTTCCGAGGCCAACTCTTCACACAGTGATTGGACTGGACTGTGGGACATAAAGTGATACTCGTGAGGAGTGTGCCTCTTAGCTCAAGGAGATACAAGAGACTAAATAGGCAGCTTCTGTCCAGAGGTGAGATGGGAAGGCAGAGAGGGTTGGGAGCTGGTTGAATGGACATGGGGAATCAGGGGTGGAAAGGAGGAGGGTGCTGTCACAGTATGGGGAGAGCAATTAGAGTCACATAACAATGTATGTATAAATTTTTGTATGAGAAAAAATAAAAAAGAGGTAAAAAGTACCAATGGGGCCAAAAGAGGGAAAGGACAATACCTGGTTGACAGGACTAGGGAAAGGTTTTATGATGGCAATGGCATTTATCCTATGCATATGAATGTGGCTTTGTATTCTGGTAGGCAGAATAGGGGACAGAGAAAAGGATTTTTCAAGCAGAGTGAAAAGTGGGAACAAAAGTATAGAAACAGAAGAACACACACAAAAAGTGTTTTAAGAGACAGGAACTCTAAAGTTAGGCAGATCTTGGCCAGAATCCTGGCTCCACCACTACAACTGTGTGAGCACCTTAACCATTGGTTTCCTAATCTCTAAAATGGGACTCGTAACCTACTCACACCTACTGGGAAATTAAATTAAATAATGCATGTAAAGTGATTAAAACTGTGTGATGAATAAATGAATTGTTTAATTTAAAAGAACACATAAGACAGCAGGTAGAGAGATTAGGCTAGAGAGACAGGTAGTGGCCAGATCACAGAAGGGGTTAAATGGCAAGATAAGGACTTTGAACTTAACTCCACAGACAGTGGAATAACTACTGACAGTTTTAAGCAGCGGTGTGACAAGCTAAGATCTGACCTTGCAGAATACAGGATCGAATGAAAAGGAGCCAGAGAAGAGAGGGATTGGAAGTAAAGTGATCAATAATAGCCTATGTTCAGAATGTCAACCAATTTCATTCTAAAAGACAAAAACTAAAATTCAACCATATTCTTTCGTGCAGGTATTTTTGGAACCAGTACCAAGTAAACCCTAGAGCTACTTACCCCCAACAGTACCAGTCTACATAAAAATAAGGTAGAAATGTTAACACATTAGCGTCTTCACACTACTTTGCACAAAGAAACAGCCTTTTATTTTATGCACCCAACCGCAATAGTCATCCATCTACTCTGATTCTTAAGGGTAGATCAGAGTATGCTGATTATATAATCCTCCACAAGATGGCACACTGTCTATTTTTGTAATTAAATCAGTTTTTCCACTTTGTATAACAGTATAGAATGCATAGACACTATGCACTGACATGTCTAGGCCCAAAACTTAGACAAAATTCATGTGTCAAAAAGAAGAGGTAGGAGAAGGGTGAACAGGCTAGTGAAGGAAGTTAGCTTAATTCTCAGTTTAACACAGACAATGAGAGAAAAACAAAAGAAAAAAAGTATTTTTAAGAAACACAAATTTATCTTCAAGATAAAAATGAACTCCTACAAACACATTTAGTTGAAGAGTTCAAATATTTCAGAAAATGCAGTTTAGTAAGACCTAACAATGACATGAGAATTTTGGAAGTGAGGAATAAATTGGAGGGGGACAGATATTTTATGAACTTTTTTCTCTTACATTCTTTAG